ATGTATTGACACATGTACAGTATGTACTTATGTATTGTACTTTTTTTAGACACTAACTTCACTTCAAGAGTTTATGCTAGTCATAATTACTTGGAAAATCTTAGACAATTATTTTCATTAAAGGTACAACTAGCATGTACATATGCATATATTTACTTGTTCTTTCTCCTCCTCTCTCTCTCTATTGTAGCCTTTGGTTCATTTGGTGGCAATAGATTTGACTTGCAATCCACTGGCTAGTCACTCAGCTCATTATCGGTTGTTTTGCATTTATCACTTCCCAACTATAAAAGCAGTTGATGCAAGAGCAGTGGTAAGGAAGGATCAATGGAGAAATATATAATAATGATAAATTATTCTTTCTTTCTATTTCCATCCTCAACTCCAGACTAATACAGAGATTGGGCTTGCGAAGGAGAAACTTGGTGGAAGGTACAATTTTAAGGTCAATCTACACTTGTATCAATTTTTGTCTCTTCTTTTAGACTCTCCCAAGACTTGGTTTATGAGAAGTGTCACAGCAATGACTTCAATGCAATAAAGAAATTGGACTTTGTTCAATGTGGCCTAAAGCATGTAGACCTCTCTCCAGTTAGTAGTCTTGACAATCTAGTTAGGTGAGGAAGCTATTTTACATGTACAATGTACATATGTGATGTCAGTGATGATGTTTTGGTTTCTTTTCTCTCAGTTTAAATCTTGAACACAATTCCCTCACGAGTTTCTCTGGCCTGATACATCTCAGCAAATTAAAGGTAATTTTAAACTTCAGCCAGCCACAGTTAATACATCAATATTTTTATACTAATTTCCTCAATTTCTACATCTCTGGCTTAAACTTTCTGCATGCAGGCACTTTCAGCAAATGCTCCTGATGTTAATTTCTCTCCCTCTCTCTTTATTCATTTTTCAGGTTCTCTGTCTCAATCACAATCGTGTGGAGTACCTTATCAGACCGACTGGCAGTGGACCCTCTTCAACATCATCAGGAGGAGGAGGAGGAGGTGATCCTGTAATGCAGAACCTACAAGTCCTTCATTTAGCATACAATGGAATCAACTCACTAGTGCCTTTGCAATTGTACAGACTCCCTGGACTAAGAGCTCTCTTTCTACAAGGTAAGGAAGATGGAGAAAGACCATTATCCTGATGGACTATAATGTACATTTATACATGTAGGAAATGAGATCAGTCGTATTGAAGGATTGGATGGACTCCATCATTTAACTGAGCTGGTCCTTGATCGAAATAAAATAAAGTGCATGCAAGAAAACTCACTGCAACATTTGGTGACTCTTAAAGAGTTCCACCTTGAAGAGAACAGGTATACTGTAATGCAATACATTAAACTGGTTGAGGCTATGGACTGTATGTGTACTATAGATTGTCTGATCTCTCACATTTTGAATCTGTGAAGAATTTAGAGAGACTTTATCTAGGGATGAATAGGATACAAGTTAGAATGAGAGAGAGACAGAGAGAGTATTAGAAATGAATTTAATGCTTCATTTCAGGATTATAGCGAACTGGAGAAGTTAGGCTGTCTTTCTTATTTAATAGAATTATCAATTATTAGCAATCCTGTAAGTTAAATACATGTACATGTATATGTATGTGATTGTCTTTTCCTGCATTAAACTTATGTATATACTCTCTTAGATCTCTAGAAGGATGCAACACAGGTCATTACTGATATACAAGTTGCCCTCTTTACAATCACTAGATGGTGTTATGGTAACATCTGATGAGAGACAAACAGCAGAAGCAACTTTCAGTGACAGATGCCAACATCAAGTACAATACTTGTACTATACATGTACATGTTTATGATTTTGACTTTTTCACAATGAATTTATAAATACATATATAGCTTCAGTTTCTTCCAGTTTCAACTTTTACTATAATACAATTTCATGCAGCAGTTAATTGTACTTGCATGCATCTTGCTTGCTTTGTACATGTATATACAGAGTAAGT